CCCCATCCATGGTTCGAAGTAGGTCGGAGCAAAGTCGGCTGGTGTTCGGAGAGGTCTGCTACTATTTGGCTGCACCAACCAGGATTAGCCGTGGTTGGCTGGTGCTTTGGCTGTAAATCAACTAACCAACCAAGCCGATTATTTGGGAGTGAGTCAGCAGTTTTGGGAATGTGTTTGGGATCAAAATATAAAGATGGGCATGGCCTAAACCCTGTCAGACTGCACTGGCTCCCTGACGTCAGCCGAAAGTGGTCGTCTGATGATTGGGGGTACGGTCCTGACCGTGTAAAGGGGGCTATATAGGGAAGGATTGCGTATGTATATGTAAGAAGGTCAGCTAAGAGTCCTGTTTTTGAGGCCGCAGGGCATCGAATTGTCACTCTACTGTGGTACGGTATAAGAAGACGGAGCCAATTCTCCACCAATTTACAGTTAGGGGATTTAAAATCGCGTCAAGTGCATTTTCCAATGACACAACGTCTAGACGTACAGGAATGCCAATGATCGAATCCGCGACCTCTCGATCTTTTGTTAGCTAGCCTAACTATTCATCCAGTCACCGGTGTAACAGCGATCTCGCCCCCCAGCTATTTCGCCCTCCCGAGTGATTGAGATCGCTAGCGATTTTGCCCCACCCCCCTCCCGCCCGCTTTTAATAGTTAGTCTACCCGTTTACACCATAGAACAGATATGGCAGGTACATAAATTTGATTGACAATTTTAACGATATTATCAAGGGTCCGGTTGAAGCAACCCCCTTGGTCGAAGTATTCCTTTTTGCTATACTCAACAGTATAGGCACCTCAGAAACCCAAGATATATGCTCTATAAGTTTTATTGGTAAATGATTTTGAGATTGTATTCATATAACCACAACGAAATATATAGAATTATTTGACAAATTTGTGTACTTGTACATCAAATGTGTGTATCTGGACATCAATTGTGTGCACTTGTACTTGCCTAATAAGGAAGTTTTTGATTAAATAATTGTTTTTTTGGGGGGGGGTCGCTTAGCCTGGGTACCATCCCCAGTAGTATATTCGCAAACTCTATAACTGGGTCTGGACTTGCACACATATAAAACGATTGGTCATGACGTCACGTAATGAGCTAGCCCGAGCAGCGGGGCTTCATTTGATTGGCTGAGCCTCAGAGGCGACGGCCAATGGCGCGCCTGTATTTATTCAAGTGATGTTTGTTGTTTTGTAAACACAGATCTTCGCGCGAGTGTTCCTTTTCTCGGTGCGTTCTATTTTGAAATTGTTCAATGCATCTTTTTGCTCATTTTTGAGGGACGATATTCCGTCTAAATCGTCCAAAACGGACGTGATTGCGAGGTCAACATCAACCTCCAAGAGCTGAGCGGCTTGTGCGTCAGCCCTGTTGATGATCGATCGCGGAAAGACTGACTACGGCTATATCATGTGCGCTTTAGCGTTCGGTTCGCCGTCGGACATGTTGATGAAAATAAGACAAGAACAAGGATCTATCTTAACGTAGCCGTTCGGACGTTCGAACGGACGCTAACGTTTCCGAACGACCCTTACCTAATATGTACACACCCCAAAAAGGGCTTAGACGAGTAGGACCAATCAGCGCGCTCGTTCAAAATCTGAACGAATATTTAGACTCCAGACGCTACATATGTGTGCAAGTCCAGACCCAGTTATAGAGTTTGCGAATATACTACTGGGGATGGTACCCAGGCTAGGGGTCGCTAGCTAGAGATCACGACCCAGAAAGGGCGAAATCAGGGAGTGCAGAACCTGCCTTTTTCCTGAACAAGATAAACTATTTAGGCCTTCTCGAGTTATTCTGTTGACACACGCAGACATAAATCACAAACAAACAAACAAACAAACACACAAACACACACACACACACACACACACACACACACGAAAACATAACCTTTTTGGCAAAGGTAATATTTTTTTTATAACGAGAATCGGACTCAGCTGGCCAAAACCATTAGACCTATACGCTGACGCGACGTTACCATATACAAAGTTACGAGCAGCCCGGCAGTAGCCTATGACACCCATGTGACCCGTATCATGTACCCTGCATTTTTCAGCCGTCTAGTTAGTTCGTAAGGCCACAGCAAGTATATTTTATGGAAGACATCCTCAGCAGTCTCAAAATTTGACGCGATAAATCCGCTCCCAGTTGTTGGCGGGGAGCGGATCTTGGGGAGCGGACTAAAGCTAACAAGGCTGGATACAAGGCTACTAAGTACTAGTACTGGAAAATTGCTTGTCTTATCACCATGCACTGCTTCTTTTCTTGTCTATTATGTTTACCGAAGAAAAACATATTGCTTTTACTCAGTTTCTTCCTCTTCTGTTCCAAACACTAACCTCTGACCTGGACAATGACATGATTTGTTGACGTCTGTCAGCATGGTGAGTGGTGACTGGTGTTACATAATGTTGCAATTTCATGGTCTACTCTACTCCTGTCACCATATACTCGTAGTACATGTAATACTATGTGAATGTGTTTGAGTACTAATTAACGTGCCATACCATGTCCGAAGGTAAACATTATGCATTTGCTTTGCAAATGTTACCTCTCTAGTTCAAGTTGTGTTAACCTACTACACACTAGTGCTAATACATGTACACTGGGTATTTACATGTGACCAAACAGCTTAGAGTTGCCAGTGTCAACTATTTCCACCAAACAGAGCAATTTTGCTTCATATTTGCTGGATCCCTGGTGGTCTCCGAATCCGATCCTTAGAGTCTGACGCTTACAAAATACTTGCCGACTTTGGCGTGTTATCCACTCTAGGAGAGTAATGCATTTTTTTTCAAATCAGGCAAACACCAATTCATTGATGTCATCCATACAATTTACTTACTGTGACGTATTAGTCAATGGTTTGCGACATTAGGATTAGGACGGCGTCTCCTATAAGAAAGGCGGTCTTATAGTCCCCTTCGTTCACTCATAAAGGGAACAAAGGATACAGTAAATAACGTGTGTAGGGATAAGGACAGAGCTTATTCCATCGCTTTAGGCAGATGGAACAGGGCGACTGAATGATAGCTTATCGAAACGGTGAGCTCTGTGGATTACGATCACTTGACGAATCCCTCCTCGTGTTTTGATGATGGGCATTCGTTTTAGCCCCTGTCACATATTCAGGACTTTTCCCTGCAAATTAGCCACC